CACAGGAGTGATACCCCATCACCCTGCTCATAACCTAATCAAAGGAATGCACACATCCACATCTTCACAGGTGCCACCTATACTCAAGGGGAGGGGATTATACTGGGTGTGTCCACTAGGCGGTGGGAATCTTAGAGTCATCTTGGAATTTTGCATATGGCAGTTATAATCCACCTAAAGCAACAACCATCAAGCATCTTGAACAGCCTAAAAGATATGTGCAAGTGCCTTTTCTAAACTGGTGTGTCAGCCTTCTGCAGGACATAAATACATGTCCCTCTTCAAAAAGCCTCCCTGGTCAATTAAGTTTGGGAAAATGTGGGTTTCATAACATTCAACATATTTCTTTACTGAATAGAGTATGGGATTTCCCCAAACATATTTAGCCCAGAAATTTTTTTTTTGAGTTTGTGCTAACGAAACTCACATTATTAATATTAATATTCCTGTAATACGAATATTATATCAGAAACAGTTGAATGATTGCTCTTGTATTGTCATTTTATTTCCTCTGTGATGACTTTCCCCATCACCTTTGTCTATGAGATCTCTTCTTCTCTGGATTTTGGTAACACTAATGGTTTACCTTACTTGATTGGCAGTTTGCTGATAATGACTTATAATAAAATACTTTTACTTTCTGACGGTCACCCCCTACTAAATGTAGTCTCTTTGAAGGCTGGTACTCCGGCTTCAAGCCATCGTGTAGAGCACTGGAGACAGCTGTGCAGTATGAAGCATGGTGGCTGAGATTTCTGGGGACAGGGGTTATATGGGGGGGCAACTCGTCAGCTTAAGGACTAATGAGCAAACCAGTTACCCTCTCTCTGAACCTCTCCTGGCTCACCTTTAAATCAAAAGTATTGCAAGAGATGATTTCTAAGATCTCTTCCCACCCAATAATCAAGCTCTGCCCCATCTCATGGGTGTCTTTATGGTGCCTGGCCCATGGTATGCACGTGGTAAATATTTGTTGACTGAATACTTTCAAGCTTGCATTGTTGTGGGTTCCTGTATTCTATCAATGCTGTTCTCTGTTGTAGGAGGTGGCTAGCTTCCAGCTGCGCAGGGCGCTCACCTCTAATTTGGGCATCTACCTCATACAACCCCCAGGCTACAACTGACCAGTAATGTTGCTCTCACCTTGCCTTTTGCTTCTGCAGTGTAAGTGCGGCCTCTTCATATGGGATAGAAGGCACCCCTCTGGGAGGTCCACCTGCCCTAAAAGATCTTCCTTCCCAATGCCTGAAACTCCTATTAAAGATTCATTCTCTACCTTTTTCTCCCGGAGCCCTATTACTAACTCCAAGGAAATAAATACAGGAGTCCTGATTTAGTAACTCACCCAGTAGAAAGTAAGCCACCTTGTAATAGCCATGCAGTGGCGGCAAAACGTAAACCACTGCTGTTGTGAGTCACTAGGATTTTGGAGATGTCCGTTAACTACAGCATAACCCTGCTTGCTTTGAAACAGAAATGTCAGGAGGAAAGAACAGGAGTTTGATATTTGACTACTACAGGATTTTGTGCTTGTGAGGATGTTAGGTGGTGTTGTCTAAATCCTTGCTACTCACAGTTTGGCAACAGATGACCAGCATCACCATTACCCAGGAGCTGGCTAGAGATGCAGACTCTTAGATCCTACCCCAGATCTACTGAACCAGACTCTGCCCTTTCACAAGATCTCCAGGTGATTCCAAGGAAGATTAAAGTTTGAGAATCAGTGACCTAGAGACAACTGGAAATGAGAACCTGAAGCATCTAAAATAAATTTGAGCTAGAGGTGTAACTGAGTGCAATCCACATTCCACAGGTTTCTCAAGTGTGGTCCCTGGACCAGGAGCATCACCGTCACATGGGAACTTTTTAAGAAATGCAGATGCTTGAGCCTCAGTCAAGAGCTACTCAGTCAAGAGCTACTCAATCAGAAACTATCGAAGGGGCCCCGAAATCTGTGTTTTAACAACCCTGGATATGATTCTCATACACATCAAAGTTTGGGAGCTACTGCCACAAACCAGTGAATTGAAATTATAGGAGTTATTATTCTCCTGAAAGAAGGAAGAGAGGAAGACGTGGATGGTTATAATATCGTTCCTATGAGAAATACCACCTGTTTCATGGCGATTTCCTTTACGCTGCATTTTCTAGAATGCACATGGGGAAAATCATGGCTTGGCTGAGGACTATTTTCACCACTGTGCTGATGACCTCTCCAATCTGCTTTTCTATCTAGTAAAAGTACTAGGACGGTGCTGTGGGTAAAGATGCAGGGAACAGAAAGGGAGGCAGACATCCAAAAATGGCTTTGCATTGTGCCAACCTGAGCCTGCTGGGGTTTACTGCGCTTGGAGCACTGTGGTGAGTGCTATAGAAAACACTTCCTGGGTACGAGTCCCCCTTTTATCAAGAATGCAGGAGGGTAAGAAGGGGGAACTGCAGCGGCTACACCCAAGAATCTGCACAGTTACATGCTAAGCCACACGTGTCCCAAACTGCAGCTCATTTTGGGATGCCATGGTTCCACTCTATTCATTTGTGTGCTCACTTGTCCTAATTCACCCAAAATTTAATGAGTGACTTTTATGTGCAAGGCCTGCAAGGCCAATGGAGAGGTCTCTTGTGTTTAAAGAAGGGATTGAGAGGGGCACAAGCCAGGAAGGTCATGGTTCTTCCCTCCATCTAAGACTCCCAGGGATGCACTGAAGTCACTTCTCCCACTTTAATCACAGAAAAGCTGGGCTAAGGCTGTATCTAGAATGCACCGCACTGTGATTTTCCAGTTTCACTTGTCTCTTTTGCCAAGCAGGGGGTGAGGGGGGTGCGTGGGAAAGCAGGGATTGAGAAGGCCAAGGAGGAAAATGCATCCAGAGCAGAACACACAATCTCTCCACCCTTACCAAGCTGCCTGCCTGGGCTGGGTGCTGACTCCCCATTTCACACGGGGGAAGTGGTAATCCGTGGCAGCTCTGGCTGCACGTTTGAATTACCTGATAAACCCACAAAACTCTCAAGGCCAAGACCACTCCTCTGACCAATTAAACCAGACCCTCCCGAAGTGAGATCCATGAGCTGGTACTTAAAAAAAAAAAATGTTCTGGGTGATTCCACTGCACAACACCTGTTCTAGGGTCTCAGGTCTTGCCCCTTTATGGAGCTGAGCTTCCTCCCCTGAAAGTCAAAGTCTTAGTTTCTCAGGATTTTCCACAAAACTTTATCAAGTTCAGGAGTTTGTTTTAGAATTTAAAGGGAGCTATTAAATTTAAGCTATTATATTATAATGAATATCCAATTAGCTTTTTTAATTAATTTTTTTTCCAAAGATGATGTACGAATTTATCACCTATCACCAGCATAGCATGACACTTCCCACATTCTTAACATACGACATTGTCAGACTTTTCTGCGTTTGCAATCCCGCTAAGAATGCTGTGGTACTTCACTGGGGCTTATATTAATTTTCTATTACTGTGCAAGAAATTACCACAAATGTAGTGGCTTCATAACAACACAAGTATATTATTTTCTGGTTCTGAAAGACAGAAGTCCAAAATGGGTCTCAAATCAAGGGGTCAGCAAGGCTGCATTCCTCTGAGGGGTTCTCAGGTGAATTTGTTTCTTTGCATTTTCTAGCTTCTACAGGCGGCCTCATTTCTCACCTTGTGGTCCCTTCCTCCATCTCCAAAGCCAGCAGCATGACGTCAGATTTCCCTCTGACTCTTCTGCTTGTTCTCTTCCACGTATAAGGATCCTTACAATTACCTAAGGCCCACTCCAATAATCCAGGATAATCTCCCCGTCTCAAGGTCAGCTGATGAGCAAACGTAATCGCTCTTTTGCATTGTAAATCAACATAATTGCAATTTCTGGGGACTCCAATTATCTTTTAGATAGTTTGTCACCAAACTTCAGATGCAGAATACTTAGTCAAAAGAACAATTCTCCTTTTTTTCTTATTTAACAATGTATGCTGGTTATAGATCTACTTTTTATGAATAATTTCGTTCACTACACAATCAGCATGGTCAAAATATTGTTATTATGGAGCCTTGGTAGAGAGTTTGATGTTGTTATTTACATGACACAATGTCTGTAGTTTGGGCCGGGTGGGAAGTTTATAATGGCCTGGGGAATGGTAAGGACCCCTGCCAACCACCACTTTGCTCTTAACATCCATTATTATGTTTATGTTAAAGTTTACTCTGGGCCTTATGTGGAAATGTGATGGTAGGTTAAACGTTGTTAGAAAACTGCACTGACTCTCTCTAAATGATCCACATACACAATACATTTAAGAAACACTGACTTAGCTTATCCATGCTAACTACAAAATAGGAGCTAATCAAATTCATACATGCAATTTATAGATGATGATAGATGTGAATAAGTTTTGATAACAAAATAGCATAAAATGTGAACTAAAAGTTAATAGTAAATGCTTCTTTGGTTATAAAATGGTTGCGAGACTAGTAAAAAGAACAGGCTACATTCTCTTTTATGGCTAATATTCCATGGTGTGTACACTAGATAGATACATGTGTGTATTGTCTATCTATCCATCCATCCATCCATCCATCCAGTTATCTCTCTGATCACATCTTCTTTATCATGGTGACAGAGGGTAACTACACTTAATTGTGGTGAGCACTGCGTAATGTATAGAATTGTCGATTCACTATGTCACACGCCTGAAACTAATATAACATTGTATATGTCAACTATACTTCAATAAAAGAAAAAGAATAGGCTGCAGATGACATAAATAAATTGACCTTTTAAACAGGTGATGTCCACTGTTACAGTATGAATTTGACCATTATAAAATGATGAAGCAAAAGAAATGTTCCATACCATGTCCTGGATAAGAGATAGACGTACGTGCTATATATCTCATTTCGGGGATGACTCTCACAGTGAATGGTTCTGCTGCTTCCTTGTTGTCTGTCTTACAAGTATTGCCCATTGTCTAGGCAGCCCCGCCTCTCAAAATACACTCTCACCTCTTGGGGTTGTTGGTACTGAGAAGCCATCAGAAGGAAAGTCCGCTGAGCCTGGAAAGCGCTATGCACCATCTCCGCCTGGGAACCAAGAGGAAGAGGGAAGTTCAGATGTTTGAGCTTCAGAACAAAGGGTGACCATATGATCCAGCAATTCCATCCCTAGATATGAACCCCAAATTGAAAACATATGTCCACACAAAGCCTTGCTAATCGATGTTCGCAGCAGCATTATTCATGATAGTCAAGATGTAGAGACAACCAGAATGTTCATTAAGGGATGAATGGATAAACAAAATGTGACATATCAATACAATGGGATATTAGTCGGCATTAAAAAGAGACGAAGTGCTGATATATGCTACAATGTGGGTGACCCTTGGAAACATGCTGAGTGAAGGAAGCCGGTCAAAAAAGACCACATGTGTATGATTCCATTGATATGAAATGTCCAGAATAAGCAAATCTACAGAGACAGAAAGGACACTCGTGGTTGCCTGGGGCTGGTGGGAGAGAGGAATAGAGTATGAGGTTTCTTTTGGGGGTGATGCTGGAATCAGATAATGCTGGTGCTTTCACAACTTGGGGAATCTACTAAAAACCACCGAATTGCTCATGTTAAAAGAGTGAATGTTATTCTGTGGGAATGACATCTCAATAAAGCTGTTAAAAAATGTCTGAGCCCCAAATGCAATTGTTTTCAAAGGGTATTTCTCCTGCCCTTGTTCGCAGCGTGCCCAAACCTCTTCTATGCCTTCTAGTGGAAAGAACGTTGTCCTTTAAGTTGTCCCCATAAACATATGCTCCCTGTGAGCCAGTGGGTTCTACAACTATTCATTAAGACAGATCTAGAGATTTCAGCGCTGAACTCCCCCACCCCCAGAAAGGAGTCATGCAGGAGGCAATGTTTCAAATACATGGAATCATATTTTATCTCCTTACCCTCTACTTACTCTTCACTATTAATTCTTTACTTTTTCAAATTTAAAAAATTACAGAAGAGTACCAGGAAGAAAATAATTCCAAATTTTTGGAATTACCATGCACAAATGACCATTTTGGCACGCTTTTTCTAGTTCTTAAGAAAGTTCATTCACACAGCTGTTTTCATAAGACAAAGCATAATGATTTAGAATAATTTTTAAATGCAGAAAGTTACAAATATTAAGGTTTAAAAAAATGCCTCACAATCTAGAAATAATCTTTGTTAACAATAGATGAACATCACTGCACCACCTTTTAAGATATATATGCACAGAGACTTCTAAAAGATTGGACCATACCCGAGGTACTATTTTTTAAAATAAAAAGTATTCATTTTAATTATGGTTGAATAGTAAAGATGAAGGAGAAGGAATAGGTAAACTTAAAAGTTTCTGCACTATAATAATTATTATGCTCTAAATGATCATTCCAAGGTAAACATATGTATATGTATATAAAATATTAAGAGATTGGAATAATTATGTATTTGCATTTTAAATTACATTGTCTCATTTTAGACAAATTTACTGGCAAAGATGAGAATATAAGTACATTCCTACGTTTTTGCCTATCTCTGATGCCCTCTCTTCCATATTTTTTAGTTATTATTTTTAATTTGCTCAATTAATAGTTCATATGCTAGCTAGCTGTAGCATGAATCCACAGACTTCAGGATAGGTTCTACATTTAAACACACCTCGTGGTTTTTACCAGTCATTTTACCATGATTTCTCTATTTCTGGATTATTCTGATTTTTTCTGATTTTTTTAATTGGCTGAACCTCATTATCAATTCTTTTCTTCAAAGAGATCTCAAAGTCGCTTTTAGTTCTTCAGGTTTGGAACGTCTCCCTGTTGTCTTTCTATTTTAATAGTATCTGGGCTGAATATAACTTCGTTGGGTAATGTTCTTCATCCATTTTCACATAACATGGCACTAATGTGCCGAGAGAAATCTGAAGCCAGCTGGGTTTTTTTTTTCTCTCTTGCAGAAAATTGGCTTTTTCTAGTTTGACACCTGAAGAATTATTTCTTTATCCTTGGGGTTTAACAGCTTAACCATGATATGTTTGGGTTTTGAGCATTCTATATTATATCTGCTGGAGTAGGTTTGGTTCTTCATTCATTTCTAGGAAAGTTTTCTTGTATCTTTCAAGATACCGCTGTTCCATTTGTTAGAATCTCTATTCAGGGACTCTAATTATTATCTTCAGATCATGTAATATTTGAATGTCTTCATATCTTTTAGATTCTCTCTCTGCCTTCAATTTGTCTTTCATCTGTATTTACTGTGATCATATGAATACTGTTCTCTATTGTGAGTTAACAGATTTTCAACAGGATCTCTTTATGTTCATTCACCCAATTTACATATCATTTCTGTATGAATGTCGTTTTTGTTCTTGATTTGTTAGACCTTCGATTTCTTTTGCATTTCACTCTTACTGTTTTATCACCTTGTCTTTAAGCTCTTTAAAAATACATTTATACTCATTAATTCTGAGAGTGTAAGTTATACTCTTACTAAGCCATTGTGATGAATCTGTTTCTGTTCCTTGTGTTTCATTTTCTTTGAGTATGAGCCCATGCCTTACCTTCACATGCAATGTTCCTTTCTGATGGACTACTTCTAGCTGTCATGAAGGTGATTCCATGAGTCCTTTGCTACCATATTGCAGGTTGGTTTATCTTCCCTTTCAATCAAGGGTTTGTGCTCTATCAAACTCTTTAAGGGCATAATGGAATGGGACAGGAGAGGGACGGCTCAGTGAGGTGATGTCCAGTCTTTGAGAATTTGGGTTCTACTCAATCTTCTGGGAATATCTTGAATATCCTAAACCATGATTTGCTCCACATCTTAGCTGTTGTAAATAATGCTGTGATGAACATGGGGTGACTATGTCTTTTGGAATTATTGTCTTCATTTCCTCTGGATAGATACCTAGATGCGAAATTACTGGATCCTATGACAGTTCTATTTTTAATTTTTTGAGGAACTGCCATACTGTTTCCCACAGTGGCTGCAACAATTTACATTCCCATCAACAGTGCACAAGGGTTCCCTTTATATCCACATCCTTGGCAACACCTGTCATATCTTGTTTTTTTGGATAATAGCCATTCTGACAGGTGTGAGGTGATATCTGGTGGTTTTGATTTGCATTTTACTCATGGCTAGTAATGTTGAGCATCTTTTCATATGCCTGTTGGCCATGTGTATTTCTTTGGAAAATGACTGTTCAAGACCTCACCCATTTTTAAATCAGATTGTTTGTTTTTTTGATATTAGGTTGCATGAGTTCTTTATATATTTTGGGTTATTAACTCCTTGTTCGATACATCATTTGCGAAAATCTTCTCCCATTCAGTAGGTTGCTTCTCATTTTATTGATGGTTTCCTTCACTGTGCAAACCTTTTTAGTTTGCTATAGTCCCACTTATTTATTTTTGCTTTTGTTGTCCGTCCCTGAGGAGATAAATCCAAAAAAATATTGCTACCACTGATGTCAAAGAGTTTACCACCTTTGTTTTCTTCTAGGAGTTTTATGGCATCAGGTCTTACATTTAGGTCTTTAATCCATTTTGAGTTTATTTTTGTGTAGAGTGTGAGGAAGTGGTCCACTTTCATTCTTTTGCATGTAGCTGTCCAGTTTTTGCAGCGCCATTTACTGAAGAGACTGTCTTTTCCCTATGGTATGTTCTTGCCTCCTTTGTCATAGATTAACTGACCATATAAGTGTGGGTTTATTTCTGGGCTCCCCATTCTTTTCCATTGATCTATGTGTCTGGTTTTGTGTCAGTACCATCCTGTTTTGACGATGACAGCTTTGTGATATAGTTTGAAATCCGGGGCTGTGATACCTCCATTCCTCTTCTTCTTTTTCCACATTGGTTATTCAAGGTCTTTTGTGGTTCCATATAAATTTTAGAATTATTTGTTCTAGTTCTGTGAAAAATGTCATTGGTATTCTGATAGAGATTGTGTTGAATCTGTAGATTGCGTGAGGTAGTATGGATATTTTAACAATATTAATTCTTCCAGTCCATGAGAAGAGTATAGCTTTCCATTTATTCATGTCATCTTCAATTTCTTTCATCAATGTCTGATAGTTTTCAGAGTACAGGTATTTCACCTCCTTGGTTAAATTTATTCCTAGATATTTTATTCTTTTTGGTGCAGTCACAAATGGAATTATTTTCTTAATTTCTCTTTCTGCTACAGCATTATTAATATATAGAAATGCAACAGATTTCTGTATATAGATTTTGTGTCCTGCAAATTTACTGAATTCATTTATTAGTTCTAATAGTTTTTTGGTGTAGTCTTTAGAGTTTTCTGTATAGTATCACATCATCTCCAAATACTGACAGTTTTACTTCTTCCTTTCTAATTTGGATGCTTTTATTTCTTTTTCTTGCCTAATTGCTGTGGCCAGGATTTCTAATACTATGTTGAATAAAAGTGACTAAAGTGAGGGGAAAGTGACTAGTTTTTGTCATTCCACTTCATTAACATGTTCTGACATTTGACAAATTTTCCAAAATTTTTACTGAAGTGAGCACCTTAATCTTGTTTCTAATTTTTCTTGTTGTATCTCATTCAAGGATTTTTTTTTTTTTCAACTGAGAAAAAAAGCTTCAGGTCAAACCAAGATCCTTAGACCATTTCAATTTAAAACAACAAATTCAATCATCAACATAATAAAATGTCTCATGAATATTTAAATTAGGGTATATTTTCCATTTGGAGTATACCATCTCCTCTTTTATTTGTCCTGGAACTCTGATTGCTGGGATTATGTGCTCAAAATCTCAAATTTTGGATGCTCTTTAAGGAGGAACAAAGAATTTTCAATATTTACTCTCCTGGAGGCCATTATGACCTTATGAATGTAAAGTTCTGAGCTGTGCGAATGTTCATCCATGTATCAAAATGTGTATTTTCAGTGGTTCAGTAGGACTTCTATCAGTCTCTAATGACCACAATTCCAAAAAGAAAACTATGAAATACAACTTTCCACAGCCTGGATATAAATAAAATAATTGCACTTCTCCTGGCCACAATAATATAGAGGTACTGTCCTCATCTATGACAA